CAATGTGGTCTGTCTGTCCGATATATAAACTAAGTATGCTTGAAATAATTGATTCGCATAACAGAAGCTGTCATTGGTTTTCTGGACTCAAGTGGAAGGGCTGGGCGGACAAAGGACCAATAAGGACGCTAGATTACTCATACTGATCGAACGTCACTGATTGTCACAGTGGTAATGTCGAAGAATTCGTATTTCCATTGGTGGATAATTCACGTGAATAAAAGCCGGACATAAAAACCAATAACGAATTAGGATAAGTCCTTTGTTTACTTTGTAAAGTCATAACAAATTGGCGACGACCTTGATCAAGCCATAACAACTTGTGTATCTGGCGGTGGTAATTTGTTCTCATTTTCGATACGTTGTTTTCCAGACCTCATAGGTTTTAAGCAAGACTGAGGTTTTGTAGAGCGATTAATTCATGTCAGTCTTATCTCCAGACTTGCGACATGGCATAATATACGCAGTTTTTCAATAGCAAGGGTAAGCAGCTTTAGAAAAAGAGTTGGAATATCTGGATCACCTAATTTGTGAACCGAAAAATATCGAAAAGAACATTGGAAACCAAGAGGGTCACTCTGGACGCATATTTATGATATCAGTGAAAAAAGTTGTCAGTGTTGTGATAGAGGTGGCAATGTTATGTTCAGTTTGCAACAGATTCGCTCGACTTCGTAAATTGATGATTCGCGCGATTTAGGAATTCGTTACCATTCACAAAATACCAGTTAAAAGGTTTGCTGTATTTTAAAAGTCGTATAAAAATGTGCAATTATGCAGGTTGCATGATATTTCAACATTTTGAGCTGCTTTAACGCGTTTATTGTAAAGGATAATAAAGTTTTGTATTTCTGAGCTAGTATTAGTTGGTAATTGCTCCTTATAACGGCTTTCAACATGTGCTACGCTTTAATTCCTAAATCGCGTCATGTACATGACTAGTAGCTCAATAAAATCTATGTTCACATACTTGAAAATTAGTAAGGTTTTAAATACCCTTAAGATTTCGAGAGGTCATGGAGTAGTAGGGATTTTATCTTTTCTCTACAAATTACACTCTTGGTTTCTAATGTTCTTCGATATTTTTCGGTTCACAAATTAGGTGATCCAGATATTCCAACTCTTTTTCTAAAGCTGCTTACCCTTGCTATTGAAAAACTGCGTATATTATGCCATGTCGCAAGTCTGGAGATAAGACTGACATGAATTAATCGCTCTACAAAACCTCAGTCTTGCTTAAAACCTATGAGGTCTGGAAAACAACGTATCGAAAATGAGAACAAATTACCACCGCCAGATACACAAGTTGTTATGGCTTGATCAAGGTCGTCGCCAATTTGTTATGACTTTACAAAGTAAACAAAGGACTTATCCTAATTCGTTATTGGTTTTTATGTCCGGCTTTTATTCACGTGAATTATCCACCAATGGAAATACGAATTCTTCGACATTACCACTGTGACAATCAGTGACGTTCGATCAGTATGAGTAATCTAGCGTCCTTATTGGTCCTTTGTCCGCCCAGCCCTTCCACTTGAGTCCAGAAAACCAATGACAGCTTCTGTTATGCGAATCAATTATTTCAAGCATACTTAGTTTATATATCGGACAGACAGACCACATTGCACCATAGAATAGAAAATAATATTTGTACAAGACCAGGCCAAATGTGGCTGTGAACGTGAGAGACAGTAATCAATAAGCTGAGTATAATTTAGGAACAGTAGATTGTATAATGATAATCAATAGGTCAAAATGAAGCTTACAATAAGATGAATTTAGATATACATAATCTAGTTATTATACAATAGGAATATATATATAGAATAATCGTCCAATAATAGGTCCTGGGAGTTACCCGTACTTATGTCTTCGCTAAGATATAACACAAGTCTTTTTGAATCTTCGTAAAAGCACCAATAATCGTAGGGTCACTGAACCATTAAGTAAAAAATGTGTACGTAAAAACGATATTTTGCATGAATCTATGTACTTGGTATTCAGATGCAATTTCATAATATCGGCAAGAAGAAGTAGTGATTCGAACTTCTATCCACTTCAAATTTTCATTATTTGGCAACGAGAGTAATCCAGGCGAGTTTCATAATTGCATTGGATTATTTTGTACTATGTTTACGATGCCAATAACATTTTGTAGTTGTTTTCATGTAGAGTAGTCATATATTCTGTCACTGCCGTCAGGTTTTAGTCGGAATCATGTACACTTGTGACTCGTAAGTTATCATACTGTGGAAGAACGTATTGCATGTACACGAGCAATCTCAGTTCATGTCATATCTAAACACTTTGTCGTGCGTAATATGTCACTTAGCGATATATATAATACGCTGCTTGCAACAGCCACGTTATATAAACCTTGCTAACATTAGTTGCATCGGTGGTTGCCATTTCAATTGATGTTAACTATACACTTTGTAATTGTTGTTGTCTCACACGGCAAATCGGGCTCGACTTCCTGATTACACGGAGGTCATTTTAACTCCGTTTACACGCAATGCGAGTTTGAAAAATATCTAAACGACCTCTGAGGTTCCCCACGAACCCCACCATAGTCTTTGTATATGTTTGGTTTACACATACAACTGTTGCGCGAATAATACCCAAGCGAATGTCCACTGCAACTCTCTGTATACGTAAGAACGATGCTACATCAATGTGACGTTATTACACATCCGAACTATTGTAGCTATTCAACTTCGACGTCATACTTCATTTTACGAAGTATTGTTTCCTCGTGGCTGTTATCTAACAAATGACTCGGTACATCAATGGGCTGTCCAAATACTCGACGACTTTAAACCTGTCCAATGAAATTGGTGATCTGACAACGTTATCATTAGCGCGAATCATCAATTTACGCAGTTGAGCGAATCTGTTGCAAACTGAACATAACATTGCCACCTCTATCACAACACTGACAACTTTTTTCACTGATATCATAAATATGCGTCCAGAGTGACACTCTTGGTTTCTAATGTTCTTTTCGATATTTTTCGGTTCACTTATCTAACAATTATGCAGCACTCACTGATTATCATTATCATTATTATCATCATCATTGTGTCACCTTGGCTCTCTCTCTCTCTCTAGTCTTCGACCTTTACCGATTATCACAAAAGTCGTCGGCTTTTCAAATTCTGATTACAAGTTGATCAATAGCTTTCCACTACAAAATCACGACTTCTTATCGCGGTTATATTTCCGCACTTACAGTTAGTCTGTTGAATATACATATAACTGGAATCTGACACTTACGAACAGAAGCTGTCAGGGACACTGTCTGACTTTATACTTTAGACCATGGGCAGTATAAACATCGGCATTTTGATGGTGTAGCAGGTGTTACTTTTGACTGTTGGTTTAAGAAGTATGAAGATTTGTTCCGTATTGATCTCTGCAGACTGGATGACGCCTCAAAAGTCAGAATACTTCTAAGAAAACTTGGGACGACAGAACATGAACGCTATAGTAAATTTATTCTTCCGATGAACCCACGAGACTTCAGTTTTGACGAAACAATTAAAACCCTGTTTCAAATCTTTGGAGAACAGTCATCTCTATTTAATTTCCGTTACCAACGCTTGAAGATAACGAAAGAACCAACTTTGATGATCTACACATATGTGAATTATCAGAGTCCTCATCACGAACTGATATCAGCTATTGTAGATGTATGAATTTAGCACCGTAATCTAATTGACCCATTCATATATTTCAGTGGAAATCGGATTGTCTGGTGAACCAAGATTGTTGAGCAGAATATGTTCATCTTTTCTAACGAATATGCAAAAAGTAGACTGAAATTTTATCACTATTAGTAGCTTTTAAAATCAAGCACAAGATTGCAAACCGATCTGTGTGATCTTCAAATACCTACTCTGTAAGATTGATTGTGGGAATAATTAAAATAAACTTATTTCGAAGTTATTTTTCATTACTATTTGCATTTTTAATCTACTCCCATGATTTGTACAATTACCACTATTGCCTATAAAATTGTCGTTTAAAAAGCGTGATCTTCGTCCTTCCGCTTCGGTTTATGAGTATACATAACATGACCTATTGATTATCGCTCACAAATACTATGCTGTACGTAAGCCATTCTAGTTTCCGAACAGACCGATTTATCCATTCCTCTCAATCCACACTCTAACGTTGTCAGTTATGGGCTTATTAATCCTGACTGTTTTATATGATCGTATGTGTGTCAATTACTGATCCCATTCATCATGTGTCTGTAACTAATTTTACTTTGACAATAAATATAGAGTCACGCTTGATCAAAAAGGGTTTACTCACTCGCCTACTCCACTGCACGTCATTTTCCTTCGTTTCGTTCTATTCTCTTTGCTTCCCTCGCTCTGTCTCTGAGATTTTTTGTACAGATCAACGATTATACGAAATATACGTACTCAAGAAATTTATTCTCATATTTAACCTATTTAGTCCGATTATTCGCGATCAAGGTCGATAAAAACACACGGAGGTAGCTGAGATGCATACTTGAATAACAACCATTCATTGGTTCATCACCCGATCTAAATAGAGTCAGATATACAAAGGTCAGCAAATGATGTTCAATGGTATGAAACTGACAGATAAAAAATTTATTATTTTGTACACATATTACGTTATGGTAATTTTATTTCATTCTGTTAAAGCATTTACAGTTGGTTTATGTCTATGTGCTGATGAATTACTATGAAATACTTGTGATTTTGCACCTCTCATTTGTACGGTGACAATCTCAACTACTCATACGTTGAAATTCATCATTTTGCTGCCTCATGGTCATACATTTCATGTATATAATAATGTAACGCTCGTTCTAAGAACATAACGATGTAGTGGATCGGTTATCCCAGTGTTCAAACTGGTAGTTAAATGAACGGTAACATTTTACGTTGACCATGAAGCACCAAGATATGATGAATTCGGGTTTGTGGAATTATTATTGTTATTGGTTGGCGGTGAGTCCACGAGTGTTGGCATAAAAAAATGAAATCAATGTCTATATAAACAACAGTTGATTCGTTAATGTTCATGTGGATACCGTGTTTTGGTCACCAATCCACTCATAACCATTTCAATACGACCCATCTAAAACTACACTTTAACAGTCTGTATATAGTACATTTGAAGTGTTTTAAAAAACTGACCAACAATGTGATTCAAATGTTCAATTTAAAGTGAAATTCTCTTGAGAGAAAACTTTATGAATTCATCAAACAGGACGATCACGTTCAGTGTCCTTAGTTCTATGAGTACAGTTTGTACTAAACTGTAATTGACGAGAATCTACTTACATCAAGTGGAAAGTTGATAGAGTTGTGAATAAAATTCTCTCACCACAAACGTAGTATGTATATGAGTAAAATAAATTAAAGTTGCATCACTTTCAAAATCACATCGTGATAAGAATATCATCATAAGCACTGTGTCCAGTGACCTCAATTTCATGAGTGCATTTCTCATTAGTGTTTCATATCATGAGAACTTAGTCGCAGTCTTGGAACCAAACTGAAAGTATTTATGAGAATATTTCAGTTCACTCTATTTGGTTTCTCACCAAAACGGTATATAAACAAACGTTATCTGCATATTCATCAGAGAAATTGAGTTCAGAAGTAGTATGTTGCTGGAATACAACCTTCTAATAAACGGAGTCACTTTACTGATTTCACGTGAGTATATTTGTGGGTAATCTTCAATCACTTGACATGTATTGGGTTATGGTTACTTCAAGTGTTAGTCATTTACTAAAATTGCTTTCTCTCAATCTATTTGACGGTTGGTGGTAGTTGACAAGGCATTCTGGATCAGTGTTCCTCGTTAATTGGCAGCTTGTCCATACAGACGTACAATTTTGTCCTAAATTCCACTTCAAGATTTATTTGAATATAATCTAGTAAAAAGTGTTGAAGTTTCAAAAATTCTGTTCACCTTGACGTTGTGGTCATCTTTGTTTTCATAATAAGCAAAATTACGTAGAATTTGTGTGAACAATTTGTTGTTGTAAGTGGATATTGCCTCCAGCCTGGTTGTGAACAGTGGACAACCGTTAGTTTGTTGAGCAACGAGAATCCACAGACAGTTAGGTCAGTTTTAGAACAGTTTTCAATGAAACATTACATACTAGCTTCTTGTTTAAGAGGACATAAGGAAAGATATTTACTAGCCGAACAGGAAATTCTTGGCCTGGTTACCATGTCAATTTGAAGATATGATTTTGTACCATGTTCACAAACCAGATCATTGTGAAGCACGTTTGATTATTTCCCATGTCAATGTAAATATTAACTTTTAAACCTATGAACTCATTTATATGATTTAGTAAGTGGTCTCATTTGCGAAGCTCAGTCTCCTACAAAAGGTAAGTCTGTTGTTCATACTGTAGTGCTAAAATGATAAACTGTCATACGTTGCATTCAGACAGCACCAACATTTTCTTGAATATATCTACTGAGAAACAAATTCCAGTTTGCGACAAACACGTGGTTCCATCCATGTAGCTTCCTCATTGCGGACCATCACACCTCAGCTTGTTTCCAAAGTGTTTTTTCTCAATTTGATTAGAAATACCGTCTAACATCATTGACATTAACGTGATACATAAACCATATTCTTTCTATATGGTCAAGTGTACAATGAAAGGAGAACGTGTAGTCTTATCATGTTACCTGTAATTGAAATTATCCAGGAACATTGACTGTCTACAATTGTTAGTTAGACTACTTTCCAGCATATGCATCGCAATTGGTGATGAAACACCAGACAGAAAGTACCGTTTTTGCAAGGAGTAAGGTTCACTCAATTCTAAACTCATTCAGTGTTTGCATTTTACCTTTGAGCTGCCTCACCAGTCTTGGAGCAGATGGTGAACAATATTGATGATCTACATGTTTCATTATCTTTTAGATGACATAAATGCCGCCATATCGGAATATGGGAAACTTTATGCAGTAAATATTCAGATTCGTTGTAAGTAAATATTACTTACACTAACTGTAACCCCAACTAGTATTTCATTGGCAGTATTTAAAAATAGTCAATACTTGTTAGTTGTACATGAGAATATAATGTCAGATATTGTCTTTTCGGTTGTTTAGATAAACTTCTCATTATGGCATTGAAATCGGATATAAATCTCACACTGGAAGAAAGTTATACCTGTAAGTATTCAGTTAAAATACATATGCCAATTAGAGACTGACCAGTTGCAGTCCTAAAACATCAATGGGAAGATTCAAACAAACAATACTAAGTGAATTTATTCAGTTAATATATTTTTACACAAGAAGCACAAACTGCTCAGTTTTAGTAGTGTCTTATAAAGCAGAATCTTATCTGCATATCTACTGTATTGACAGTACCCAGTAACTCCACATGGAGTCGAAGAGATTGTTACTGTATTTACCGAATATCAAACTGAACATCAAGGAAAGTATGTGAAAGGAATTAATAACGGTGTTTGTATATCAAATGGGTTGGTAGTGCTTCAATTTGCAAATACGACTGATTGTAAACTAGTAAGAGTTTATATTAAGACGAAACCCATGTCCTGGCTCCCACAAACAACAACCCATATCTACTAAAAAGCAGAGAGTTTTAGTCAACAGACTTAACGAAGCTAAATGACAAAATAACTGTTATTACGTATTATGTTAAAATTGGGCAAAAATGTATTCTTAAAGAAATAGAAGGTCATACATCACTTCTCCCATTTAAATCTTTTGATTTGACCATCTGTTTACCGTTCCTAATCGTTTGTGTAGTAATTCGCAGGTCGGAAGATGAATGCCAAGTGAAGTGGGCACTTAATTATCTCAAAGGTATGTTGCAACGTTTCGTCATTGACACGCAAAAACTAAGTTTCACTCCATTGCTAATCTTGACCCCTAAACAAAGTATGAAACGTTATCACATTCATCTATCTTTGATGCGCATTTGTAAATCTCCCAACTCATCGCTGGCAGGCTAGTTTTGATATAAAACATGGCCTTCATTTGGTACTGTCTGCCTTAATACCACACATTTGCTGACATTCCGAATTCTTTTGAACAATATCGATGAGTTTGATCATGCGGCTATTTGTAATCTCGTTTCCGAATTCGTAGAAATCTGAACTGTTGGAGAACACAATTTCTACATTCATTTCTCAGAGTTCCGAATATAAAAACGCAAATAACTGCACATACATATGTATATGGAGTTTCCTGCTACCTATGTGCATGCTGTTAATCATTGACAAAGAATGTAGACGTTTCATCCTTCAATCTGAATATGATGCCTTCAGATTAATCAGAGGTCGTCTAGAGAAGTATGTAGAGTTGATATTGAGTAAGTAGTCCTTGTTTAAAAACATAAAATAGACATATGAGGATTTTTAGTTAAAATTATTCAACCCCTTAACCTTTTTTCTTGATACTCACTCAAGCTGCTGGAGCAGCTTGGAAACTGGAAAATGAAGACACATTCAGAATGAATATGGATTCTTATATGGGTAAGCCTTGATAAATTGAAATAAATATCCCTCACATCTTTGAATCCAAAATGTGTTTACTTTTCAATCAAACCATTTGATAAACTAACCAATTTCATTTACAAACAGGAAATGAAAACACCGGTAGATCATAGATTTTCTACTTCATGAAAAGCAAATAGTGTTGTTCCATCAAACTGATAATGTCCGTTTCGTTTACCACATTATCTTCATAAACTTTACTCAACTTTAAATGTACACATGCCTTCACATATTATCTACCTCGAGTTAAATATCACTTGTTTATCTTACAGATGTGAACAAAACCATTGTACCAAACATCTGTGAGTGATGCGTAAATTTTAAATTTTATTTCACACAACAGAAACACTTTGTGTTCATAACTCACTATGGATCATTTTTCAATAAATTACTACATTCCAACCATCACTACCATATTCTATCGTAATTAGCAAACCTGAAACAATGATGAAATATTGTACTTTATTCTACCCATTAACTATCTAGTAGGTTGCTAGGAGTTATTAGTAACAGTCTGATGTGGAGTGATTTAACCCTGATTTCTCCATCTCTGAATTTCAAAACAGCTATAATCTTTTAACACATGTTCTTGACATTTTGTATCACAGTAAATTGATTTACACATACTCCTTGTATAAATCTGTCTGTAATTGTTCATTTCAGGTATGACTATGTTGCAGCAAAAAGGTGATAGAAACTGGGATGACAATATTCAAAAAAAAATAGAATATGGTGAGTTCAATGGAATTTTATTCGAAATATTTGCGTTTGAAAATCTTGCTTTAAATAGCTTGGTTGTATGTCTCTAGGCTGATAGGTCACAATTTATTTCTCCACATCGGTCTGTCATCTTTCAACCAGTAACAACCTTCTCCAATGACTTGAGATTATGACTATTGGACGTAATATCCTTAAAATAGTTTAAGATGTCTAATCTTTCTTCACATAGTCAATAGGCACTTGCAAGTATTTGGAAGCCGCCTGTAGATCTGAGGATGCAGCCATCTCTCAGAAATAGTCGATCAACATGGTTAAATCGTACATACGTGTGTTTTCATAGTTTCTTTGTTAAGGAAACAAAAGTTGAATCCATCCGTTTAGTGAACATCATCACAATACCTTCTATTCACTTTAAGGAATCATGTTCAAATGGTAGATCACAGAAGAGAAGATTACTTACATAACAGCTATATGAGAATACTATCAAGTTAACTTACTTATTCACCTGTGCCTTTGACACGTCAACAGGTTGTGAAGTCCTGAAGAAATATTGCGATTGGAAATGGGGAGCACGAACAAAATTAGATTTGATGACAAGTAAGCAAATGTTTCTCACATTCAATCAGCTGTCAGATTCTGCCTATCGCATGACTAGTAGAGCCATTCATGTTTGGGGACCAACCTCATGGTGTCAACTTTTGAACGTGATTTTCATAATACGCATCTAAGTTATTTGCATGATGTGATGAATTTTCAAGTTGTCATATTTGAGAAAGCGAAAAAATGTTAACTGACTTGACTTGAGATTCATAGACCTACAAGATTACCTGAATTCAATAGGTGTAACAATTTACCAATGAAGATGTGTTGAAACACGTTTTAGTGTGGATTTCGTGTCTTTATTAACAAGTCCATTGTATCCTGTTTAAGGATCGTGACATTCCATTTATACAGTACTTGTATTCTGACTCGGATTATTTGGGTTTTCATTTGTTAAACCTGTGCATTTCATAGTTCTCAATAAATGATTCTGAAATGTTATGTTCTGTCGGAATAACGTCTAGCAGTATCATATGAATTTCTTCGAATAGCATATACGGAATTTTATAGTGCTAACTTCTATGTTTTCTTTGATACAGTTCAATGGTTGGCTGGTTCAGATAAAAACAGTCAATCACGATACATTACAGACAGGGGTAGGTTTGTTTTTGAAAAGTAATGAGTTGGTGAATTTGGTCTTTACTCAAATATAACTTACCGACTGATATCAGTTTGAGCCGTACCGCACTCCAGATAAGATGAAAAACAATACTTGCCTAAATCAGTTACTTGTGTATCTGTAAACATTTTAACAGAGTTAACTGATGGCTAATTCAGTGGGTATTGGAAGTTACATTAGAAAAACACCATTTATGGAAGTTATGGAAAGCAAGGTTGTACGGCACTACTTATCCAATTAGTAGGTAAACATTTTGATGTTTCTAATCGACGAAAGACATATAGACGTTTGTTAAACGTAGAGCACTTACCAAAGAATCAATTGCAAGTGCATGCACAGTCTTATTTATCTCCGAAATCAATTTTGTTACCAAAACACATGCTCATTGACCGTGCTATTGGAAACAGCGTTTTCGTAGTGTAGTACTGTGTAGAAACGTTCACATTTCTTACGATATTTTGTTGAATAAGGCGGACTTCGCATGTTCTCACTTAATTCCACCTAAAATTCTGAATTGCATAGAAGTGGAAACGATCAAACAGTTTTCGATTTCAAATCTTCCCAATATCACTCAACAATTTCATCAATAGTGAAATCAACTGTTTTAAACTCTCGTGTATTTAATTGCGATATTCAAAACAGGTTTTGATTACTATTTGAAAGAAAAAGCACTCCAATGTTCTGAGGATGTGATGAAGATACACCGAGGCAAGTGTAGCAGGAATTTTATTGAGAGTTAACAAATAAGTGTTGCTTACATACCTTGGTTCTTATTTGACGGTGACACATGTTACATTGACTGAAATCTTATGGTTACTCTAATCTCATTACAATTTCAACCAGACATTCACCGATATAAAATGACTGTGGCAATTTCGTTTTCCATTGTTCATAGCTAAAGCCGAGGTAAACTGTATATCAACGACAAGAGAATATTTTGAGTTACAGCGAGTAAAAGGTAAGTTGACAAGCAAGTCCTCCATATGCGTAATACGTAAAAAGAATAATGTCAACCTGAGGCGCCATTCACTATCAATCATTGGAATACAGTGCTACCAGACGCTCAATATTCTAAAAGTAATCATGACAGAGGGAACGGGAACGTCTCTAGACATCGAATCAAGCGATGAGAAGAAACAAAATGGAAGCAACAGATTTCCAAATTATCTGTTATTTATCGTAGTTGTATAGAGTGTGATTTTATCCATTTCATATACCAATGTATCTCATAAGCAGTTTATGTCTGTCAGTTACATTTATATGTGTTGTATTTCTGCTTGGTGTCTCTACTTCTCCTTGTCACGGATAACCCATTCTTTACAGATACCCCGAACTCAAAAACCCAAGCTAATCAATTTGACAAAATTAACAAAAATTTCAACAGTTCACTAGGTAAGACCAATGATTAATTCCTTTAAACTAAATATAATCACGTGCGCATCTGAAAGTGAAGTAAGAGCTTGTCGTTCCACTGTACTGAAATCATGGCAACATTTATACTGAACTGTATCTAAACCTTACGATACCATCTTAGTTTCCATCAAGGAACAGAGAATCAAACAAAACTCGTGACCTACTTTCCAGGCGTTCTTCTACTCATGGTGTATCGCCATAACTACTGAAGTTAGTGTGACTGCAGTAATGCTTTCTATCTTTCCAAACAAGTCTCAAACATTGATATGCCACATGGAAACAAACGTGTTCACATAGTTATTTTCAATGAGTTTGCTCAGACAATTAAATCCCTGGTATTGCCATATTATGCGTGATAAATAGATTGTTTCATCAAATTGGTGAACAAAGCTTCCAGTTTTCAGCTACGTTTTTACACCATTAACTCACTAAGTATATTAGGAACTTACTGATACCACATTTGTTACAAATTCGCTTCATTTTGATTAACATTTGTGCGTTGGATATTTATTATTCTGGAATACCACTTCAATTTAATTCACAGGCGAGTTGAAGAGTAAAGTGGAAGGCCTCGAAATAAATAGGATTAATTATTTGAGATGTAAGTTTGGAAATACTCTTAATTAATATGGTGTTCAGATAAAAATCCCATGGAAAGGGTCACCGCAGTCTTAAAGGCAATGGAAGAAGAGGTGGATCACGAGTATGGTAAGTATAGCTGACGTCCATTCACTTATATCTTTACACTTACTCAGTACCCTCTTACTAATGTGAGTCGTTTAAAATGTCACCATAAGCCGGTAAACGTGTCAATATCATATTGTGAAAATGTATGTTGTATGGAAGCCATCCAGTGGGATTTCGATCACGAGTAACAAAATTACTTGTCACAATCAATTTTGTCAGCGTGCGACTTAACATCTCAAACGAAACCCAAGTTCTGTAACAATGATGATTCCAGACGTATATTATTAATATCACATATTCACTGGTGTTATGTGGTCAGTACACTCGAGAGAATTCATCTAGATACGTGAGTTCAGTGCGATCCCCCGTAGAACTGCATAAATCCATGGGATTCGCAGTGCTCGCACTTGTCTATAAAGGCACATATCTGTGCAGAGATTGATTGAGAAACAACCATAATACATCACTGTACATACTGCTGGCTACTGATCAATATTTGGGGAATTCGTGTAAATATATTGTGCAGTGAGTGAAGTAATGTAGGTAACTAACCAGTCATGATACATTTATGTCCTTGCTACTTTACATCGGTCATAACTCTTTTATTTACAGTGGAGCTGTATAGTTCATCAATAATCAACTTCATTGAGCATATGCTTTGTGTTGTTTACCTCTATTCCTTCAAATTATTATAAATAGTCATCAACTCAACGTATACTTCTCTTGTAGGATTCTACATGTAACTCAAAGAATAGAACGGAAGACACTGTCGTTTCATTTAATGACATTTATTTTGCTGTAGTAGTAGTACTTTAAAATTATTTCATTAAATACAAGTTCACCACTATGCGTTCAGTTTCTTTATCTACCTGAGATGCTGAAAATAAATTATTGACTGCAAAGTGTTTTGTGTTTGCTTGTGTCCTTTCGGTGCTCATTTTTTACCTATCGCAAAGGTCAACACTGAAAATGCAGTCATCCTATCTTTTCAAATTACCGAGTTACAAATATTCATCTGATTCGCAAGTTACTCTAAACACTGAAGTCGAAGGATTCAAGGTATAAAAGCACATTCAGTGGAATTCATTGGATAAATACAGATCGAACTGCGATTCTTATGCATTATGTGTTTATCAGATAATAAACAGGCGCAAACCGCTAGTTGAAAGGCCGTACAGACTAATAGGTAGAAAATCATTAGCACAAAACAATTTACAGTCTGATCAATACCTAGAATACATTATATAAAGCAACAGTGAGCTGTTACCATTGAATAGAAACGAACATCTATTAATAAAGACAGGTGAATTGGATTTCACTATGCTGAACGTCTAGAAGTATTGTGTTTTGTATATTTCCTCTTTAACGAGTTCTGCCTTCCATCTGTTATAAATAATCTTTCAAGCAGACCTCATTTTTGACACACTATACAACTGAACGTCTCATGTATCGCTACACTTCTTCAGTTTAAAGTAGTCACACAGACAAGTATACTCAATCTCATCAACAACTTCATTTTCATTCAATATAGTTCACTGATCGAGTTATCATGATATTAGCGTTTGCACTCCTCACAAAATGGATAATCAATAGCATTCTTAGAAGTTCATTCACAGTAAATCGAAGTCGAATCACGCATGAAAAATCAGTATGTTCGTAAGCCTCATAAAAGCCTATTCCACCCCCCCCCCACACTGCTCTCTGTATTCGTTGAATTCCAATATATTAGCCTCCTATTATATTTTAGGGATTGATAGAAAAGAAAATATGACAGGAAACGTATCGTTCCTGTGGCGATAATTTGGAATCACTTCATAAAAACGCGCAAGAGCATACAGTTAACACTCAAAACTGTTCGGTTCAACTACATCTAGAATAGATAGGTTAATTTCAATGCTTATACAGCCGGAGAATTGTTGGCGCAAAAGTTTGACTAGGTGTTTGTGTACCCACTATTTCACTACAAGCTACTTCAGAAAACTAACAAATCGAATGGTTAGTTAGTGAACTTCTATACACATCCACAATCGCAAAGACGATAGCAACACAACAATTTATTCAGAAGACATTGGGTGTTAAAACTATGGCATATCAAGTCCAAAATTCATACAACTCTAACAAACATAGAAATGGGATCTGTAGTGGCGATCAGTTTCGATTGATATAATTGACAATAATTGGTATTCTGCATTCAATTTCTCAAACGTGTGATATTTTCGCATATGCTACAATTTTACCAAACACGAATATGATCAAAACCCAACATTTTCACGACCAGACGATATAAACTAATACGTCAATATTTAAGTTACTCACTCAACACTCATCAGCTGAGAGGCAAATTTGTCGACAATACCAAAGGTATTGCTGAAACCATAATATGACGAAGAAATGAAACTGTAACTTGTAAGCTGAGTGATGCAAATAATTTAGACAATAGAAGCAACAAATTAATGTTTTATAATTTATGCTAAATAAGAAATGCACGAAAAATACACGTTATACTTTTGGAATGGAATACAATCTATGGAAAACATTTCCAGTCAGTGATTTACAATACTTCGATTTCAATTACAATAATTTGTACTGTAAAGGCACGCAAATCTTATGCGAATGAAACACAATCAAGCTCAGAACAAGTAGATATTGTAAAGTGGAAAAATGGGTAGGAAAAATCTCTATTGATAGAGGACATTAAAATAACAGTGTCGCAACATGACATCGGGAGTCAGCATTCGTACAGGGAAGAGATTGTTTGTGTCTGAAGGCATGTCTCCCTGCCTGCCTGTGTATGTGTATGTGCGTGTGTAATTATGCATGTACTATTATTGTATATTTATCCCAAAATAAATGAGATACTCCTCCAGCAATTGTGAAAACAGTTTTGATGATATAGCAATTGATTGTGGAAATATGTCAACCCTGAGATGAAGTCAAGCAAAAATAAGAGACATGGTAAGGAAGACAATCAAAATGGTAAGAAAAATATTATCATTGTAAAGCGTCGTTCACATTAGTTGAGAATGTTTCTCTCGATGATGGAAACAAGGAATTTATACATGGGACATTTTCATTGTTCGGGTCAGAGCTTATTGAATCTAGTTGCGCTTCAGAGGTATGTTGCTCATCATAATTATCTTCATGGTCCGCTTCGTAATTTGTTACATAATCCATTCCACACACCACAGAGGCATCTGGAAGAACATCAATATCTGAAACATGATTTTCTATCCTATCTGTTACGTTAGGGAAAGCATTAACCGGATTTGAACTATCTAGTTGATGGTGACGTCGGCGGCGACGTTTAGCAGCTTTCACATCTGAACTTTGAGATGAAATAGAAGTAACCTTATCTCTTATAGGTGTGGAACTTGCTTCACAATGTTCACTAGGTATGTTGTTCTCATCGTCAGTTGACTTAGATAAACAAGAAGAGCAATGACTCGAATCCTTCTGTGAAGGTAATGTATCACTAAATGTTGGCTGACCTGAAACAAGAAACAACTGATTGCCTGATACAGCTACCGTAAGGAATTTCTTTGGATGCCAGGATAAGTGAAGTATTTTATGTCGACAGTGTATCTGGTGCATTCCAGGGACAGTTGATGTCCCTGATAGAAATTCTTCGATAGACGTTTTTTTAACAGGCGGTGAATTTAAAATGATACCTGATAACTCATGACCATCATTTGAATTCGGTACTGTGCATGAAGAACTAACACCATATCCACATTTCTCTACCATGTCATGTGGAGAACTCTTGTTATGATGACGATGTTTACTTTTGTGGTGACAACTACGGGATTTGTCGTGTTCACTTTGTACAGCACAATGAGAATCAGTAGAATTATTAGTACGAGAAGGAAGGATTTGCTTTCGACGCTTTGAACCTGTTGGAGGTGCTGAGGGAGTATTCTCTGGAGGGTTGAGATCATCTAGTTGACAGTTATATAGCTTCGTTCTGCCAGGTGATACCTCTAAGGTGTTCGAACTATCGTCAACTTTATTCCAATCATTATTATCACTACAGCTGCTATGTGAACTGGTTTGACTTGTAGTTTCTGGAAAGAGAGCTTCCACAGCATCCAATGGTGCTACGAAAATTGAAGATAAACCTAACCGACTTCCAATGGGATCATCAGGAGACATAAACCGTTTAGGTGATAAATAATTCCCAGTATTACATGCAGAATTTGTGTTATAAGGATTGCTTGAGTCGTCAAGGTCATACAACCAATCAGAGCCATTGTGGCGGTCAAATATATGAAAGAGATTGCCGTAAGATCCCGTTATTGCATACCTGTATATAAAATGTAAGTTATATTGTATGATAGAAATATAAGATTTAAGGTTGCAAAGCACCGACTAGAGCAAACATATCACATCTCGTTTAATCCTTAAAAATCCAACTTCTGTATCAATGCAGAAGTTTCAACATTGAACATAATCGCACTAGTGTGATTTTTGCGAATCACAACAACTCTTCATCAGACGAAATATATTTTACATTCAGTCACCAGTAAATACCTCAAAAGTCAGTAAGGGCATCAACGAACCATTTTCATGGAAATCGGGCTTACAAATAGTCATATATTATTATGGTGAAGGAACTCGATAGTGGGAAGATTAATTGACGAGCTAGCTAAGTTTCGGTTGTACACTGCATTCCCATAATAAGGGATGATACAATTATTTTCTTCCCACTAATGCCCTATTGTTAAAGTATGTGGACGACAGTTCAGTTAACAAAATACCACAACTATCTTATTCAATACACGTTTTAGTCAATCACATGGAACGTAGGACCTGACATATAAGTGCATCGGTGCAAGTTGTCTTACTATACTAGTCCAATTAGATAGCATTGCCAAGACAAGTAAATGAGTAGCATGAATAGTTACAGTAGTAGAAAAGGTTATGTATGGCAGGAAAAAATGTAACAAGATTTCTGGATTCCGGATTCAAAGGGAGATAAAAAGTGAATATATCTGCGCACTTGCGAACGATTCTGAGCCATGTCACACCTCGATATGTTTATGAGCCATAATTACCTATCATTGCAGTTATTTAATAGTATTCTCGTGAACCCAGAGATAAATAGTGTGTAACGTGTTTACCAGCTACAAACTCGTGCACATCAACCTTCAGTCACACTATTTCAGATGTAAGGGATTAGTGATACTACCACCTCATCTAGTAGTTGAATACTAATTGATTTAACCATAATATTGATTAATTAAGCTCACAGAGAGAAAGTCCATTAATAGATTATAAATCCAAAACACTGAACGAAAGCACTAACCAATATCTTTATGAAAAAGTATGATAAAGCTTTTATGAAAACATTTTAATACCTACATATTTGACGAAAGATTCAACGGTCAGTGCAGCCAGACGTTTACGTTTTGCGCTACATGAGTCACTAAACCACTTACACAAAAATTCAACGAATCAAAAAAATGCATGCGTCTGATTGGTCCGCATGTACTAGATAGTCACATCCGTTTATTCATTGTAATTGTTATTAAATTTTTATCGAAGAACACAGATAAAAAAACAACAAGAAATACATATTTTTTAAAGTTTACCTATCATCATCAGACCATCCACA